TTCTTCATTCTCCCTTGTTCCAAATGGGGTGGGGACAGTAGATGTATCTTACTGACTGCTCACAAGCTTTTAAGACCCCAGATGCTACTCAGCAAATTAGGATGTAGAATATTTCCTTATAACCTATGTTATACCAATTGAGATAGATGTTCCCTGAGACAATGGTCCCCAGCCCTCAGCCCAGTAACTTGATCCCTATGGGAGTTAGAATGTGTCTTAGAAGCTTCTATGGCTTTGCTTTGGTCAAGCTGTAGAACCTGAACTTTTAAATTATGATTATTAGTCTGTCAAATTGCAGGGTTGATTCAAATGCACTGAATCAATGTGCTACTAAAGAAATAAAAACAAAACCCAAAAAGTTCTAGTAGTTTCTTACTACCTACTACTAATAATACAAATTGTTCAACCTAGCATTCAGGCCTCTTATCACATTTAATAAGCACACCAAGTACGGAATCTTTTCTCTAGCAAGATCCCTACATTCATCATATTAATTCCTTCAACTACTAATTATTAATTACTTCAAATCTTTGTTAATGATATCCTTTCCCATGCCAGGAAGTGTACTGAAGTACAGGATTTCTTCCCCTAGCCATCCAAATCCACCCATCCTTTAAAAGCCATTCAAGTCTTGTCTCCTTCATGAAGCCTTTTCAAAGATCCCAACCTACAGAGATCTTCTCTGAAAGGTCTTTTTGACTATCTTATTTTTCTTTTTAAATTGGGATGTTTTCCCTCAATGTACACGTGTAATCAACAATTCTTTTGCATTTATCAACTATTAGTAGTGTCATTTTTGGATAATATTTTTCTGAGACAAACAGAAGCTAACAGTCATTGAATTCTTGCCATGTACTAAGCATGCCTTGTATTAAGTGACCTATCTACACAGTATTCCTCAGTTACTCCTCACAACAATTTTATGAAGTAGGAAATATTATAATCCTTATTCTACAGTTGAGAAAACTGAGGCATAAAAGTGAAGTAACTTTCCCATGATGAGACGGCTAGTAAGCAGTAGAGCTGGATTTGAATCCTTATCTACCTGATGCTACAGTAGTTTGCACTTTCAGTTACAAGGCATGTAGCCTATGAGAAGGAGAAGGAACCTCAGAAATCATGGAGCCCAAGCCACTAATTTTACAAATGAGAAAACTTAGGCCTTCATCGGGTAAGTGACAGCCACCTACTGGCAGAGCCTCAATTAGAACTACAGCTACCTAACTTGTAGTTCAGTGCTCTTTCGACTACACCACATTTTCTTCCACTTTACGAAAACAGAAGCTGGGAAAGAGAAAGAGAAGAACAGAGAGATTTAAAAGTATATGGATATAAATATTTAAAAAAAAGTTACCTGAGATGGCAAAAACTAAGCTATGAAAAGTTAAAGATGCAGGCAAAGAGGAAGCATGGTATGTGAGAGTATAAAAGTGGCAGTGAAGAATACATTTGCAAAATGACATTTCCCCCATGTCAACCACCGGGTAATGTTGGCCCATGTGGCTTTGTTATTCCTTGGTACCACCAGTGCTACTTCACATGTCATGATTTTTCATCTATAAATAAGTTCCTCAGTGGGAAGGTTACTGACATTTCGGATTAGATTTCTTGATGTTGTATAAGACCATCCTACACAGTGCAGGCAGTTTAACCTTATTCCCTACCGGCAGCACCTGCAGTCATTTTGGCAACCAGTCTCCATAACACATAAACATATTTTCAAACATCCCCTGGGGAGTGGCTGTCCCCTGTTGAGAAGCGTGGATCTACATTATACTTTCCTGAATTTTAAAAATATAATAAATAAGAAAGCAAAAACTTGAGCTACACTATTGTTCTCTCTCTATCCACATTTTTTCTTCTATTGGTTGCAAATCTGAGTATTCACAGAATCTTTTTAATTTCTAGGCATCAAAAATTAGTTTTGACAGTATAAATTCTGTTTATAATCTTTAAAAGGTACAGAATAAATTAGTTAATAATTTCCTAGACAAGATTTAAGACAGCAATACTGAATCTGAAAACACTCCCTTAAAGCTCACCAGCCCTTGCCAGCTTTATCTTAGTGCTCTCGGTCAGTGCTGGTCAGCCAAAAGTTGTCAGGAAAGAGAAGGGGAGAGGGTCGGCAAGGTAAGATTTTTACCTGGGATGTACTCAACAAAGACTGAAAAATTAATTAGTACAGGCCCATGTACTAGTCCCATGAGTCTGGAAAAAGCAGCATGTCATAGTGGTTAAGAGCAAGGACTCTGAGTTAGTCTGGACGGAGTCTGAATCCAAGACCTGTCACTTTTTAGTAGATGACTGAATATAAATGGAAAACTCCCAGGTCCAACAGCACAGGCTCAGATAAGGGAAGATTCCTCCAGGGCTGGCAATTCAAGGCTTTGAACCTGGACATTATACCTGGGTGACAAAGCTTGCTGAGCAGCAGAATTATTGTAGTATATGGTAATGTAAGTTAGTTTTGAATGCTGACGTGGCTGATGCCAGCAAGTCCATCACTCTCAACTCTTCTGACTGGTGAGAACGTCAATCTGCTGAGGTTGCCTAGACTCACTTTCTAAAGCACATCCATAAGAAAATAAGGGAGGCAGTAAGAAGCATCCTTAGCTTCTGTACATGCTTTGTATCATCGCATATTTGCTTTGGAAATAATCCAAAGTAAAAGCAATCTTGAACAGATCCAAGTCATCATTCTCACGTATCAACAAGCCCAGAAAGGCTCCATGATTTAGCTTAATTCAATTAACTAGGTAAGGTATTTAACCTCCTTAGCCTCAGGTTCCTCATTTGTAAAATGAGGGTAATTATGCCTACCTCAATGAAATGTTATGAAAATTAAATGACATATTACAAATAAAATGCTATTCCTGGCACACAGTCACTCTACGATAATTATTAATGACCCTTATTATTTACCTAGATCCAATTCTAGAAAGTAGGTGCCCGTTACCTTTTCAGTATTTTCTAGAATTGGATGCGTGAAGTGTATCTTACAGAATTTGGACGTGGAAGCAGTCGTGGTATACTTAAGGGCAGCCTGGCTGGAGCTCGGCAGGAGTCAGCAGGTAGAATTTTGACTAGTTTCTGTATTCTGTATCTTCCTAGATCTGATTCTTTGCTTTGAAGACCTGGAGACTCTGAGGAAGTCTCTCACCTGAGGAATATCTAAAAGCAGTGGTTCTCAAATTGTGGTCCAGGGACCCTTGGGCACCCCTGAAATCCTTTCAGAACTATTTTTTAATAATACTAAGAGCTTATCTGCCTTTTCTACTGTGTTCATATATGCACCGATAGTATAAAGCAATGGCTGGTAAGCTGCTGGTGTCTTAGCATAAATCAAGGCAGTGGCACCAAACTGTAGTAGCAGTCACTGTATTCTTTATTGCCATGCACTCACAGTTTAAAAGAAAAAAAAAGACAGCTTCACCTAAGAATGTCCTTGATGAAGCAGCCAACATTAATTTTACCATATTTTGACCCTTGAGTGCACGTTTTTAGTAATCTATGATGCAACGCAACAGAAGTACACAGTAAGGACTTCTGCTGCACACCAAGAACAATGTCTCGAGAAAAAGCACTTGTGTGACTGAGCCGCAAGATGAACTTGCTGGTTATTTTTTTAGTGAAATACCATTTTTACTTGAAAGAATGACTGACAGACAAACCATGGTTACTCAGACTTGGGTATTTGGCAGACATTTCATCAAAAAAAGAAGTGAGCCTGTCACTTCAAGAAAACTGTGATAATGAAAAAGTTCAAGATTAGAATCTGTATCCATCACAGTGAGCTTGACAGCTTCCCAAAACGTTATGACTTTTCTGATGAGATTAGTGATCACATTAATGAACGTGATTTTTTGAAATTATATAATAAAGCAAGTCAACATTTAAAATGATCTACACAGGTCAGTGAACCAGTATTTTTCAAATAACCAATATATGATGTTACAAAATTATATATAGATAAAGGATCTACTCAAACTGCAAGATAGACCAAAGGATTTTAAAATTACAGAGTATGAAAAGTTCATCGATACAGTTTTAGATTCTGCATTGTAGTTAACCTTTAAGAAACCACCACATGC